ACACACCTCCCCACCTCTCCCTGCACTTTTACACAGCCCCCCCCGCCCCCCGAATCAGAGAAAGGGCCCTGCGCTTTCTGTCGCGATTTCCGAAAGCGTGAAAGAAACGCGCAGGGAAATTCTTCGCGATAGAAGGGAAGCTCCTTCCGCTTGGAAACGATTCCCAAGGAGATGTGTTTCCTTCTCGGATAAATGAGCATGGGATCGTTTGGAAAAAATAAATAAATGAGTCTATGCTCATGCACGAAACATGTCTTTATGTAAGCTCTGAGCTGTACCGGGCCCAGGACCTGTTGGATCCTGCATTAGCAGCGACTAATCAATCAATCAATTAATTAATTTTCGTATCTTGTCGACAATGACATTTGATAGATTTTTACCGTTTTCTCCGGCCGGGTGGCTGCCTCTGCTTTCACACCGATTTCACCCTACAGACTCGTTTGTAATTTCACAAACCTTTAACAACCGGGTTTCCTCCATGTCTTCAGAACGCAATCATAAGCGACATGCCCTGCAAATTTATCAAAGCGTCTTCTGCGCTTTTTTCCCTTCCCTTCTAACGCACATTTTCACCCCGAGCTGACTCCGAAAAAAACCTCCCACATTTATTTAGTTTTAACTTTCACATACTTAAACGAAGCGCTGCCCTTTCGAACAGGCTCCCGGCTCGGACGATTGCAAGTTCACCTTGATTTTGTTTCAAAAGTCACAATATATTTTTTTTTTCAGAGAGCTTCCCAAAATTCTGAAGGTTTTCGGGGAACTGTCAGAAAGACAAATTATTTTTCTTTCGCCAGGTGTGCAGACACAGGTTCTGTGTCGATGCTGAAACCACCTGAGAACGAACGAACGCGTCCATAGGCGCAACCCTGAGCACGGGTAAAGGTGTGTCTGGTTCCCCAGAAAAAGCCAGGCACCGCTTTGCTTTAATTTTAATTTTTATTAACGAGACGAAACCAAACAATACAGACGGGCTGGCTTGCCAAGGTATGTCCGAAACCAAAGGCGGCGAAAGAAAGGGTTTGAACTTTTCCTGCTTCGCCAGCGGGAAGAAGACCCTTTTCTTTGCAACCCCCTCCCTCCCTCCCTCCCTC